GCACTGAGCCAGAATTCGCCAGAACCATGGGCCAGGGCCAGGAAGATAATTGGAGAGCCTTGCATTGAACCTCCCCTCCTCCCTGAATCAAAGATTTGAAGCATTATATTCTACCTGGAATGGCTGACATTTCCCACTCCAAAGACACTGCAGGCCTAAGCAACTTGAGGAGCTCCTCATCACAGTGTGAAACTGCCAGGCCCCTGGATTTCGAGCACAGAACATTTGACGTACATTTTGCCACTACGAAACCTGCACTCACACGGCTGGCATCCAGTGTAACATTCTGTTCCTCTTGGATGCGTTGTGCGAACAACCTGGCGTCATTCTCCTTGCAGAACAACGTTGAGCTGCTGGCTACCGTGATGTGAGGTCACTGTCAGGCTAGGCTCCATCAGGGAATATCTGTTTGAACTATGGTCAGGCCAGGCACTCCTGCTCTCCACAGTCTGCATACAGCCCTCTGAAAAGGAATAGTTATAGAATGAGAGATAATCCATCGCTCGGGACAGAACCTGGTGGAAAAGTGAGCAGGGCATTGCCATTCATTGAGACCCCCAGGGACTCAGTAGGCAAAATGCCCCCAGGTGACACATGGTTTCTCATATCTCAGTCTTCCTTCACCCTCCCCGCCTCCATCAAAATCACTAGCATGGTTCAGGAGTTCCTGGAGCCCTCGCTCATACCATTATGCGTGAAGCACTACAGTCTCTAGCCATCCAGCCAGGAGATGAGCCACAGCACATCCATGGTTGCCTCCTGCCGACCTTTTTCATTTTCCTGATGGTGCCATGGGCTCAAACGAACTCCAGCTTGAAGCAAACCACCTCAAATGGAATGGTTCATGAGTTCATCAGCCTGCCGTCCCTTCAGATTACAACTGGGGGGGGAAATGAGCAGGGCCTAGCCATGCAGTTCATCCACCTTGCCACAGTTAGCAAATAGCACACCAAGATCTAGGAGAGAGTCTTGCAGTAAGCCTGATTTGCCCCTCTTTTCAATCGAATAGAACACTGCGAACCTGTGAAGAGCACTGGGAACCCTCACTCCTACTGTGCGGCATTCGCCTGACCTTCAGTCCATCTTTAGGCCCAGGCTGAACCTGCCCTTCCTAGTTTCACGTATGTGGACTGCTCAGGGTGTGGTCAGCAATGCCGTCCAAATGTCCGCACTCTGCCAGCTATGCAGTAAGCAGTCTTCTGAGGACTTGTAGGCCAAGTGTGCTCTTGCCCTGGTCCTAGGCGCCACCTTGTGGATGTTTTAAGGATCATTGGCGTGGAAAAACGCTGGCTTCAAGGACAAGACACACAGAGGTCTGTCGAGTAGTGGTCAGCACGTAGCAAGTCTATACCCTCCATGCAGTTGCTGCTCATGGCTGCCATGAGGACCACTGCGATACACAGTGAACGCAACCTGGTCCCTACCTGGCCCTGGTGAACACAGGGCCAGGGCCTCGGAAGTAAATGAGAAGGCCCTTGGCCAAGACATCAAATAGTAGAAGGTTTGCATGGCCAATCAAGATGCAGTGAGCCTGCATTCCATCTTAGCTGCCTTGCACAGAATGACTAGAACTCCTTAACAGCTTCGAGAGTCGTGACTGATACCTTTCTGCATGTCATAAACTTTGGGCACTACTTAGCTGGCCAGTGAGACAGCCCTCATGGCTGTCAGCTCCGTGGATATGGTGAGGGTCTATTGCCTACAGCAGGGAGACTGTCCTCAAGCCAGAGGAAAAGCATCCTGATTAAGAAATTCAGTCAGACACAGCCCAAGTTCACACAGGTGTGACTTTCATACATAAAACTTTCAGACTGTTTCTGCATTCAGGGCACACCCACTCCCAGAAACAATACTGCAGAGGTCTGGAGAGTCATGGAATAATACGCACTGAGCAGGAACTGGCCACAGCCATGAGCCAGGGCCACGAAGGTAATTTGAGAGCCTTGCATTGAACCTCCCCTCCTCCCGAATGAAAGATTTGAAGCATTGGATTCTACCTAGAATGGCCGAAATGTCCCACTCCTAAGGAACTGCAGGCCTGAGCAACTTGAGGAGCTCCTCGTCACAGTGTGAGACTGCCAGGCCCCTGGATTTCGAGCACAGGACTGTTGAGATACATTTTGCCACTACGAAACCTGCACTCACACTGCTGGCATCCAGGGTAACATTCAGTTCCTCTTGGATGCATTGTGAGAACCACCTGGCTTCATTCTCCTTGCAGAGCCAAGTTGAGCTGCCGGCTAGCATGATGTGAGGTCACTGTCGGCCTAGGCTCCATCAGGCAGAATCTGTATGAACTATGGTCAAGCCGGGCACTCCTGCTCTCCACTGCCTGCATACAACCCTCTGAAAAGGAATGGTTATAGAATCACAGAGAAACCATCACTCGGGACAGAACCTGGTGGAAAAGTGAGCAGGGCATTGCCATTCATTGAGACCTGCAGAGACTCAGTAGGCAAAAAGCCCCAGGTGACACATGGGTTTCTGATGTCTCAGTCTTCCTTCACCCTCCCTGCCTCACTCAAAAGCCCTAACATGGTTGAGGAGTTCATAGAGCCCTCACTGATACCATTGAACGTGAAGCACTACAGTCTCTAGCCAGCCAGCAGAGAAATGAGCCACAGGACATCCATGGTTGCCTCCTGATGACCTTTTTGTTTTCACTGATGCTACCATGGGCTCAAACGAACTCCACCTTGACGCCAACCAATTGAAATTGAATGGTTCATGACTTCGTTAGCCTGCCATCCCTTCAAATTACAACTGCTGGGGACATGAGCGGGGCTTAGCCATGCAGTCCACCCACCTTGCCACAGATAGCAAATAGCACACCAAGATCCAGTAGAGAGTCTTGCAGTTTGCCTGAATTCCTCCTCTTTTGACTCGCATATAACACTGAGAACCTGTGAAGAGCACTGTGAGCTCTCACTCCTACTGTGCAGCATTCGCCTGACCTTCAGTCCATCTTTAGGCCCAGGCTGAACCTGCCCTGCCTAGTTTCACGTAAGTGGACTGCTCAAGGTGTGGCCAGCAATGCCGTGCAAATGTCCTCACTCTGGCAGCTATGCAGTAAGCAGTCTTCTGAGGACTTGTAGGCCAAGTGTGCTCTTGCCCTGGTCCTAGGCGCCACCTTGTGGATGGTTTAAGGATCATTGGTGTGGAAAAATGCTGGACTCAAGGACAAGTCACACAGAGGTCCGTCAAGTAGTGGTCAGCAAGCAGCAATTCTATAACCTCCATGCAGCTGCTGCTCACGGCTACCATGAGGACCACTGGGATGCCCAGTCAATGCACCCTGGTCCCTACCTCGCCCTGGTGAACATAGCGCCTGGGCCTAGGAAGTAAATAAGAAGGCCCTTGGCCTAGACATCAAATGGTAGAAGGTTGGAGTGGCTGAGCAAGCCGCAGTGAGCCTCCATTCCATTGCAGCTGCCTCACACAAATGATTAGAACCCCTTAACAGCTGCGAGAGTCGTGACTCATACCTTTCTGCATGTCATAAACTTTGGGCAATACTTAGCTGGCCAGTGAGACAGCCCTCACGAGTGTCTGCTCCGTGGATATGGTGGGGGTCTATTGCCCACAGCAGGGAGACTGTCCCCAAGGCAGAGGAAAAGCATCCTGCTTGAGAAGGCCAGTCAGACACAGCCCAAGTTCACACAGGTGTGACTTTCATACCTAAAACTTTCAGACTGGTTCTGCATTCATGGCACACCCACTCCCAGAAACAGCACTGCAGTGGTCTGGAGAGCCATGGAATAATACGAAGTGAGCCGGAACTGGCCACAGCCATGAGCCAGGGCCACGAAGTTAACTGGAGAGCCTTGCATTGAACCTCCCCTCCTCCCCGAATCAAAGATTTGAAGCATTGGGTTCTACCTAAAATGGCCGACATGTCCCACTCCTAAGGAACTGCAGGCCTGAGCAACCTGAGGAGCTCCTCGTCACAGTGTGAAAGTGCCAGCCCCATGGATTTAGAGCACAGGACAGTTGAGGTACATTTTGCCACTACGAAACCTGCACTAACACGGCTGGCATCCAGTGTAACATTCAGTTCCTCTTGGACGCATTGTGGAAACCACCTGGCGTCGTTATCCTTGCAGAGTCAAGTTGAGCTGCTGGCTAGCATGATGTGAGGTCACTGTCAGGCTAGGCTCCATCAGGGAGAATCTGTATGAACAATGGGCAGGCCGGGCACTCCTGCTCTCCACAGCCAGCATACAGCTCTCATAAAAGGAATGGTTATAGAATCAGACAGAAAACATTGCTCCGGACAGAACCCGCATGAAAAGTGAGCAGGCCATTGCAATTCATTGAGACCCCAAGGGATTCAGTAGGCAAAAGGCCACCAGGTGACCCAAGGGTTTCTGATATCTCAGTCTTCCTTCACCCTACCTGCCTCCCTCAAAAGCCCTAGCATGGCTCAGGAGCTCAAGGAGCTCTCGCTCATACCATTGTACATGAAGCACTCCAGTGTCTGGCCAACCAGCCAAGAGATGAGCCTCAGGATATCCATCGTTGCCTCCTGCCGACCTTTTTGGTTTCACTGATGCTGCCATGCCTCAAACGAACTCCAGCTTGAGGCCAATCACCTGAAATGGAATGGTTCATGAGTTCATCAGCCTGCCATCCCTTCAGATTATAACTGGTGGGGAAATGAGCAGGGCCTAGCCATGCAGTCCACACACCTTGCCACAGATAGGAAATAGCACACCAAGATCCAGGAGAGAGTGTTGCAGTGAGCCTAATTCCCCCTCTTTTGACTCGCATAGAACACTGAGAACCTGTGAAGAGCACTGTGAGCCCTCACTCCTACTGTGTGGCATTAGCCTGATCTTCAATCCATCTTTAGGTCCAGGCTGAACCGGCCGTGCCTATTTTCACGTAAGTGGACTGCTCCAGGTGTGATTGGCAATGCCGTCCAAATGTCCTCACTCTGCCAGCTATGCAGTAAGCAGTCTTCTGAGGACTTGTAGGCCAAGTGTGCTCTTGCCCTGGTCGAAGGCGCCACCTTGTGGATGTTTTAAGGATCGTTGGCATGGAAAAATGCTGGCCAGAAGGACATGTCACACAGAGATCTGTGGAGTAGCGGTCAGCACGCAGCAAGTCTATACCCTCCATGCAGCTGCTGCTCATGGCTACCATGAGGACCACTGGGATACACAATCAACGCACCCTGGTCCCTACCTGGCCCTGGTGAACACAGGGCCAAAGCCTCGGAAGTAAATAAGAAGGCCCTTGGCCTAGACATCAAATGGTAGAATGTTGGAGTGGCCAATCAAGCTGCAGTGAGCATGCATTCCATCTTAGCTGCCTCGCACAGAATGACTAGTACCCCTTCACAGCTGGGAGAGCCAGCACTCATACCTTTCTGCATGTCCCAAGCTTTGGGGACTATTCAGCTGCACAGGGAGCCAGCTCTCACTTGTTGTCTCCTCCAGGGATGTGCTTATGGAATATTTTGCCATGCAGTGCAACTGTCCTCAAGCCGGCAGGAAAGCAACAGGTTTGAGAAGACTAGTCAGACACACCACTAGTTCAGGCAGACCTGACTTTCATACCCTGGAACATTTCCGGCAGCTTAGGCAGTCAGAGAACACGCACGCCAACAAACAGTCATGCAGAAGTCTGGAGAGTCATGGTACAACATGCAGTGATCCTGAAGCTGCCCACAGCCATGAGCCAAGGCCAAGATGTGAATGGCTATGACATGGATTGACGTGCCCACCTCCCACAACCAAATAGGTGAAGCCTTGGCTTCGACCTAGCATTGCAGACCCTTTAGAGTCGTAATGCATGGAATGTGGGAGCACGTTGAGGAGCTCCTAGACACAGTGTGATCCGTCCATGCCCCTGGGCTTCAGGTGAGGTACTGTTTGCTCCTAAGAGACATGCACTCATAGGGCTGGTATACAGTGAAGACTTTCCTACCTGGTCGATGCATGGTGACAATCCCTTCTCATCATCCACCTTGCAGTGCAACTTGGAACTGCAGACTAGCATGAAATGTGTTTATTCTCATTCCAGAGACCGTGCAGGAGACTGTTCAGGAACAGTTGCTCATGCAGTGTGCTCCTGCTCTCCACAGTATGCAGACAGCCACCTGAAAATGAAGGGTTATGGAATCATTGAGAAAATCTCCCTTGGGAGAAAACCCTGCAGAAAAATGAGCAGGGCTTAGCTATGCATTGATACCAACTGTGATGTAGCATGCTCAAGGCTCCCAGTGGAACAATGGATGGCTAAGCTCTCAGCCTGTATTCCCACTAGCTGCTTCCCTCAAAGGCCTAGCATGGATTGGCCGCCCAAGAGGCTCTCACTTCTATCATTTTGTATGAAACACAACTGGCTCTGTCTAGACAGCTGAATGATGAACAGCACATCATCCAGGCTAGCCAGCAGCAGTCCAATTAGGTTACCTGGGCCCTCAGTGTGCTCACACTAACACCAGCCTGATGAAAACCATCTGACAAGGAATGCTTCATGAGTCCGTCAGCCTGCCGTCACTTCAGCCTGCAACCTGTGGAGAATGGAGCAGTCCCTAGCCATGCAGTCAGCCCGACTTACCAAAGATAGCAGATAGTACAACCAAATACAGTGGAGAGCCATGCAGTGAGCCTGCATTGCCACCATTTTGACTCTGCCAGACCACTGAGGCCCTTTCAATAGCCCACAGAGAGCCCTCACTCCTACTGTGTCGCATTCGCCTGATATTCAGCGCATCTTTGTGCCTATGCTGAAACTGCCCTGCCTAGCTTGATGCCAGCAGACTCCTTATGGACTGCTTAGCAATGCAGTCCACATGTCCTCCCACTGCCAGCTATGCAGCAGTCTTCTCAGGACCGGCCAGCCCACAGTGCTCTGGCCCTGGTCCTGTGAGCCACCTGGTGGACACTTTAAGGAATGTCAGGCATGGAAACATGCTGGCATCATGGTACAGTAAGTCATACAGGGGTCTGGCGATTAGCGGTAATACCACAGCTAGTCTTCCCTTGGTGTAGGCAGGGCTCTGATGAGTACCATTTGGCCACATGGTGAACACACTCTTTTCCCTTCCTGCCCCTCCTGAACAAAGCCACAGGGACTAGGACCTGAATAAGAAGGCCCTTCCCCTAGACATCCAAATTCAGAAGGTTCTAGCAGCCAATCAAGAAGCAGTGAGCCTGCTTTCAAATATCATTGCCTTCCACCGAATGACTAGGACTGCTTCAAAGCTTGGAGAGCCATCACTCATACCCTTCTGCATGTCCCAAACATTGGGGACTACTCAGCTGCACAGGGAGCCAGCCCTCACCTGCTGTCTCCTCCAGGGATATGCTGATGGAATATTTTGCAATGCAGTGATACAGTCCTCAAGCCGGCAGGAAAGCAGCATGCTTGAGAAGGCCAGTCAGACACACCACAAACTCACACAGACCTGCTTTTCATACAGTGGAACATTTCAGACAGGTTAGATATTTATGGAATATGCACATCAACAAACGATCGTACAGACATCTGGAGAGTTATTGTACAACACGCAGTGAGCCTGAAGCTACCCGTGATGAGGCAGGGCCATGCCGTCAATCCATAAGCCATGCATTGAGCCTGTCCTCCTCCTGGAATCAAACAGGTGAAGCCTTGGGTTCTACCTAGCATTGTAGACACCTTAGAGCGGTAATGCATTGAAAGCAGGAGAACCTTGAGGAGCTCCTAGACACAGTGTGCACCAGCCAGGCCCCGGGACTTCATTCAAGCTCGCCACAGGTGAGGTACTGTTTGCAAGTAAGAGAACTGCATTCATATCGTGATCGTGCAGTGTTAACTTTCCCACCTGTTCGATGCATGGTGAGAACCCCTTGGCTTTCTACTCCTTGCCATGCAACATGGAGGTGCAAACTGGCACGAAGTGAGTTCACTCTCTTCCCAGGCTCCATCCAGGAGACTCTTCAGGATCTGTTACTCCTGCAGAGCGCTCCTGCTATCCACAGCATGCATACAGCGACCTGAAAAGGAAGGGTTATGGAATGAGTGAGCAAACCACGCATGGGAGAAATTTCCATTAAAAAAGAACAGGGCATGGCCATGCACTGACACCACCAGCAACACAGCATGCTCAAGGCCCCCAATGGCACAATGGATGGCCAAGTACTCAGCCTGCATTCCCACGAGCTGCCTCCCTCAAAGGCCTACCATGGAATTTCCGCCCAGATGGCCCTCACACCTATCATTGTGTATGAAGCACATCTGGCACCATCCAACCAGCCAAATGATGAGCACAAGATCATCCAGGCCTGCCTCCAGCAGGCCCTTTAGGTTCCCTGGAGGCCGCAGTGTCCTCACACTAACCCCAGCCTGATGCCAACCATCTGACAAGGAATGCTTCATGAGTCAGTCAGCCTGCCGGCACTTCAGCCTGCAACCTGTGGAGAAAAGAATGCGGCCTAGCCATGCAGTCAGCCTGACCTGCCAAAGATATCACATAGCACACCCCAATACAGTGGACAGCCATACATTGAGCCTGCATTCCCACTGTTTTGACTCAGACAGACCACTGAGGCCCTTTCAATAGACCACAGAGAGCCCTCACTCCTACTGTGCAGCATTCACCTGATGTTCAGCACATCTTTAGGCCCATGTGGTGTCTGTCCTGCCTAGCTTGACTCCAGCAGACTGCCTATGGACTGTTTAGCAATACAGTACACCTGTCCACACACTACCAGCTAAGCAGCAGTCCTCAGAGGGCTGGCCACACCAAAGTGAAATGGCCCTGTTCCTCGGCTCCACCTGGTGGACTCATTCAGGATAGGTAGTCACGGAAAT